TCTAAGATCTTAGAAATGAAAAACAATGTTAGCATCTGGATCAATTGATACATATGTCAGTAGAATCATCAGATCTTAGAGGAGACCTTGATAGCCAACTGAACAGATAGAAGCAGAAGTGGAAAACAGATCCTGTTTGGAAGGATCCTGGTGGTGCCTCAACCGCGATGGTCGCGGAAGGCAGCCGCGCTCTAAGCACCTGTTCCGCACTTCAATTAGGTGTGAATCTTTATCCAGTGAATTTTTAAAGAATCCTAACACTATGTGCTAAACACAAAAATAAGAAAAAAAGGCTACACTAACTACTTGGAGAGTCCAATTTGCTGTTCAAGGACTGAAACTCCCCAACTGCATCCTTTTAGGGCGACTGAGTTTTTAAAACTGAGCCTCTGTGGGGAACAGGAGGCGTGGCTACACAAAGATTTGAACTCAGTCCTTGGGCAGCAAGCTGAAGTTAACCCATGCTTGGACACTCCAAACAGCGCGTAGGAGAAGAGCATCGCCCCTTAGAGTCGGGAATGACTAGCATATATGTGCAAGGGGAATCTTTACCTTTAGACCTTATTGAGACTTAAAGCTGTTAGATTATTACAGAAATTTGGGCAGCTAGTGTATGTCGGGGGGAAGGCAGGGGATAATGGGCTGTGTAGTGAAAGTGGGAATACAATTTTATAATTTTAGCCCTTGCCTATTTCAGGTTAAATCAAAACTGTCCAACTGAAATAATTTGCTTTTAATAGAAACCTCATATTGTGAAAAATGCCATGATTTGAGGAATAATTTTTATATATACCACAACAAGAAAAAATGTTAATCCCTTTCTAATCATTAATTCTTGTCAAAACTTCCTTGGTAATTTGCATTTTTAAAAAAAGATTATTATGTATTACATACAGAGAGTTATTTTAGTGTGACATCTAGGCAAATCTTGTTGACAATCAAACCATTCTCTGAATTGGAAATAATTAATGGTATATATTTTGCCTGGCTCTTCAGATGTAAATCAGATGACCTTCTTTCCATTTTTCTCCAGAAAAAATAATCCTTCAGAATTTCCTTGATAGAGTCAGTGGAGACAAAATATTACAAAGATCTTCCTCATCAAAGAAGTCAGGAGAAAATCCAATCAGATGTGTCTGATACTTTTCAGAAGAAAATTCCTCAAAATGGAAATGTGGCTGTTTCAAAATGCAATATCCTTATGATCTGTCTTAATAGTAAAACCATTTGAAGACTATATTTACTTTTCTTATACGTGAGAGTTTCTTTAGAAATCTTAAAAGACTGCACTGGCACTACTAATGTACTTCCCTAACACTGACAATATAGTGTGAATTGAAGCAGTGTTCAGTTATTATTACCTAAGATGCGGCATGCTTGATATATTGCAAATCAAAACCTTAATCCATTCTAGTTGCACTGGAGATTGATTTTCATCCTGCTGTGAGGTTACATTAATTACATTAATCAGTTATATTAATTACACACCATGGTTTGACTTGCTGCAATTTTGAGAAATTTTTTAAATAAAGATTTTATACATATACAGTACACACACACACACACACACATTTATTTTTGCTTAAATGTACTGACACAACGATCAAACATTTTAATTGGACTCTTAACCTTACAAATTTAATAAATGGATGAGTTTTAGTTGACAAATTGCCTCTTCTTTTTTTCTTTGCAACCTGATGCCTTCCAATTTTGTTAGGGTTGCACCCCCTAGAGAACACCCAGCCAAAATACTGAAGCCAAAACAGTTGAAAATGCCCAAAAGACAAAATTAAATGATTGCATTTGCATAGGTAAAAATATATATAGGCACAATTAAACAATTACATTTGCACAAGTAAAAGTAGAAGGTATCATCTTAAAAGAGTCATCTCGGAGTATGAAAAAACTGAATGCCATAAGAGTTTTTGTCATTGCAAAACTATTTTTATCTAGCATTAGGTATTTACATATTTTCTGTGAACATTTCTCTGGTTAAACACTTTTGATCAACTAAATATTCCATTTTAAGTAATCAACTATAGTTGCAAGATTTTCATTCTTCAATGAACTTCTTTATTTCTTTGAAGCCATATTTTTACATATTAATTATGTTCATTGCTTTATAAATTAATCTGGTCAGAAACAAAAAAAAACCCCAAGACAACCTCATTAGAAAATAATTCTGTTGTATATGTTTATTTTATATTCTTTTCAATCAATTCAGCACTCATCTACATTGAAAACCACAAATACATCCAAGGCCATGGAACGAAGTTAGAGGGGGGAGGTTAAGGCTAATCACTTGCACACTTATTTGGAAATAAGTCTGCCATTAGAAATCTAAGACCCTTGACATTATGATAGCATATATAATATTCCTGCTGTGCTTCATAACAGCCTAATCAAAACATATGCAAATTAGAATGTTTATGAAAACACTTATTTCCAGATACAGCAAAGTATGTGTATAGGGATAGGGAAGGATAAAAATATAATGCTCTGTTCTTTAGTGAAATAAAATAGAAGTGCACGGATTTAAATACAAGGACGAAGCTAATGCAGCTGCTTTGTTGCAATGCAAGAGGGACAATATCCAGTTGTTTTAATACATCTAGGAAAGCTGCTTTGGTGCAACATGCTCCCTTCAAATGTTTTACGTAGCTCTAGAATTAGTGCAAACCTAGCATACTATAACCCAGGCCTGTCAAACTGGAGCCCATGGGCTGGATGCATCACGTGCAGGCCACGCCCACCCTGGTTCCATAAAGGCAAAAAACTTCACGATACATCACACGACGCGATTGAGTTTGACACCTGTGATATAACTGCTGTCTGATTTTGGCATCAGATTATGAGAACCAGATGGGTTGATTTGCAAAACTAGTTTAGGATTTAATGATTTGTGTAGATGCCATTTAACAATCCTAGATTAGGGTTATGTGTGGACCCAGCCAGTGGTAAATTGTCAAGGCATCTGACACCGGTACATAGGTTGTGGTGCTTATGTGATTACATCACCATGTATCACAAAAATTGGGATATTTTCAGAGCAAATGCCTTTCCGTTCAACTGTTGACTACAGTTTTCACTGCAATTCTTACACAGATTTATTAAACAATTTAAACATGTACAAGAATCCTAAAACGATTGTGTCTGTTCTCTTACATTTCTGAAATATTCTGTCTAGAAGTGTTTTATGAATCATTTTGGAATTTCTCTATTGATTTTTGTTTAATCAGAAACACAGAAAACAATACTTGAGAAAAGTGGGAAAGACTTCACAGCCACATTCCTATGTGTTGTGTAACCCAACAGAGAAAAGGACATTCTGGAATCATTTAGAGCTATTTTCATATTTGTGTTCCAGTTAAAAGATTCTGAGCTCACCAGACGATTTGTGTACATGTGTTTTGTATAAATGAGCATCTGATTTGTAGCTTTTTTTTCACAAGTATTTTTTTTTCCATTGGCATAAAAATTATTTTTCCCCTTCATTGGAGGGAGAGAGGTCCAAAAAGTCATGATGGAAGCCACATATATTGACTGAAGTCCTGCCACTTTTTACACAGAGCTGAGCTTTGATTGTACCCTTGTGGCCACCAAGGTTATAATGTTTTTGACCCCTCGTGTGGACACTCCTTTTTTTCAACTCACTTTTTTGGTGACACTGTTTAAGTAACACAAACCTGTCAGTTCTAACCAGACAGGCAGAAACAATCAGAGAGAGAGGTGATCCCATGGGTATCCAGACCTCAGATTGTGAAGGAGTTTATAAATGACCATCAGCTCTTTTAATTGCACTCAGAAACATACTGGTAATCCTTTCAGTTTGTGAACTAGCATCATTACATCAGGGTTCTGAGACATGTCCATTGGTTCACTGTTGCATTCAGGACCATTTGTGCAGACCACGTCTAAAGTTCAACCCCTGCCAACCTAAACCCAGAAAGGGATGTGCAGCACGACACAAAAAACTGTTGCACATCTGGATCAATAGACCATTTGATCCGTACCGAATGCAGTGGGAGATCGGTGGGAAGATGCCAAAAGTGGTATGAATATATTGTACCTGACTATTTGCTGTAGTTCTTCTTGAAACTTGTCATAACTTTGAGAAACATGTATTCTGAAATACATATGACAACTCCATCAGTTGTTGTTAGTTGCGAAGTCGTGTCCGACCCATCGCAACCCCATGGAAAATGTTCCTCCAGGCCTTTCTGTCCTCTACCATCCTCTGGAGTCCATTTAAACTCATGCCGACTGCTTCAGTGACTCCATCCAGCCACCTCACCCTCTGTCGTCCAATTCTTCTTTTGCCCTCAATCTTTCCCAGCATTAGGCTCTTCTCCAGTGACTCCTTCCTTCTCATTAGGAGGCCAAAGTATTTAACTCCACCAGTAGCTAGGACTATTCCCAGACTTCTCCTGGGGACTTAAGGGAGGTGCAAAGATTGCAGTAACCTGAGCATTGCAAACAGACCTAACAGCAGGTTCCAGGCTCCTGAATAAAAGTAAGCACAAGCTGTTGCCTTATGAACGAAAAACAAATCCAAGATTTCAGCCACTGGAATTAGGAAGACAACTATTCTGATTCCATAATGCCTCTGAGGAAAAAAGTGCGACCAAGTTCTGCTTCTGGGAAGTTAGAGACCTCCACGCTGACCAGGTAAGGGGCAATAATGGAAAGGAAGATGTTACGTCTCTATACATTAAACAGAAACACATCGCTGCCTTAATTTATTTTTTCTTTCTTTACAAAACAAGATTAGTTGTAGCTGCCAAAGGCAGTCGTGTTTGGAAAGCTTGTGTAGTTGTCAAGGAGCCGAAGCTGCTTGGAGTTCAGNGTGGGGAACAGGAGGCGTGGCTACACAAAGATTTGAACTCAGTCCTTGGGCAGCAAGCTGAAGTTAACCCATGCTTGGACACTCCAAACAGCGCGTAGGAGAAGAGCATCGCCCCTTAGAGTCGGGAATGACTAGCATATATGTGCAAGGGGAATCTTTACCTTTAGACCTTATTGAGACTTAAAGCTGTTAGATTATTACAGAAATTTGGGCAGCTAGTGTATGTCGGGGGGAAGGCAGGGGATAATGGGCTGTGTAGTGAAAGTGGGAATACAATTTTATAATTTTAGCCCTTGCCTATTTCAGGTTAAATCAAAACTGTCCAACTGAAATAATTTGCTTTTAATAGAAACCTCATATTGTGAAAAATGCCATGATTTGAGGAATAATTTTTATATATACCACAACAAGAAAAAATGTTAATCCCTTTCTAATCATTAATTCTTGTCAAAACTTCCTTGGTAATTTGCATTTTTAAAAAAAGATTATTATGTATTACATACAGAGAGTTATTTTAGTGTGACATCTAGGCAAATCTTGTTGACAATCAAACCATTCTCTGAATTGGAAATAATTAATGGTATATATTTTGCCTGGCTCTTCAGATGTAAATCAGATGACCTTCTTTCCATTTTTCTCCAGAAAAAATAATCCTTCAGAATTTCCTTGATAGAGTCAGTGGAGACAAAATATTACAAAGATCTTCCTCATCAAAGAAGTCAGGAGAAAATCCAATCAGATGTGTCTGATACTTTTCAGAAGAAAATTCCTCAAAATGGAAATGTGGCTGTTTCAAAATGCAATATCCTTATGATCTGTCTTAATAGTAAAACCATTTGAAGACTATATTTACTTTTCTTATACGTGAGAGTTTCTTTAGAAATCTTAAAAGACTGCACTGGCACTACTAATGTACTTCCCTAACACTGACAATATAGTGTGAATTGAAGCAGTGTTCAGTTATTATTACCTAAGATGCGGCATGCTTGATATATTGCAAATCAAAACCTTAATCCATTCTAGTTGCACTGGAGATTGATTTTCATCCTGCTGTGAGGTTACATTAATTACATTAATCAGTTATATTAATTACACACCATGGTTTGACTTGCTGCAATTTTGAGAAATTTTTTAAATAAAGATTTTATACATATACAGTACACACACACACACACACACATTTATTTTTGCTTAAATGTACTGACACAACGATCAAACATTTTAATTGGACTCTTAACCTTACAAATTTAATAAATGGATGAGTTTTAGTTGACAAATTGCCTCTTCTTTTTTTCTTTGCAACCTGATGCCTTCCAATTTTGTTAGGGTTGCACCCCCTAGAGAACACCCAGCCAAAATACTGAAGCCAAAACAGTTGAAAATGCCCAAAAGACAAAATTAAATGATTGCATTTGCATAGGTAAAAATATATATAGGCACAATTAAACAATTACATTTGCACAAGTAAAAGTAGAAGGTATCATCTTAAAAGAG